GAGGCTGGAGATTGAATGATAGAATTTTGTTTGAATGATTTATTCATCGAAAATATTTTATTAAAAAATAAAAACCACACACAAATAAGACAACTGTCCACATTAACCTAACCTGATGAACTACATGGGAATCAGATTTACTACATCTGTGGTAAAAAGATGGGGGAGAAGCACAATATCAGCACCAGGACAAACAACAGAAGAAATGCTCAAAATCACTGGAAATAAGAGAGATGCAAATTAAAACCTCAATGAGATAACCCAGTATCTCACCTCAGTAGCAGTGGCAAAATTTAACAGGAAAGCAAGTAATAAATGTTAGAGAGGATGTGACAATAAAGGAACTCTTATACGCTGTTGGTGGGATTGTAAAATGGTACAACCATTCTTGAAGGCAGTTTGGTGTTTCCTCAGAAAGCTGAACATAGACATTCCGTATGACCCAGCTATCCCATTGCTAGAGAGTAAGAACTGAGGCACAAATAGAGAATTGTACACCAACATCCATAGCAACATTATTCACCATCACAAGAACATGGAAACAGCCCAAATGTCCAACCACAATCAAAGAGACTAAGAAATTATAGTACATTCACACAATGAAATACTACACAGCACACAGCAATAATTTTGGAAATCACTACCTAACATGGAAGGGACTGTAAAGCATTATGCTAAGGGAATGAACTCAGTCCCACAAGGACAAATATTATATAAGACCATTACTGTAGAACGTGTATGAGGATCCAAGTGGGGGAGGATGGGAACAGAGGGGTGAGGATGGGCAGGGGGGATGGGTATTCATAGGGTCACACAATTTGATGAGGGGGTAAAGGAAATGGGAAGATCAGTATGAAAAACAATGTATATTAATTTTGTAAGTAAACCAGTATAAAATAAAAATTTTTAATTAAAAGAATAAACCACAAAAATAAACACCATGCCAGTGGCTGACTGTGGAACCGACCATCAATCACTCATATACAAGTTCAAATTGAAGTCAAAGAATATTAAAATAATTCCATGAGAACAAAATGCAACATTAAGCCTATACTACCTGAATTAAAAAAACCTTCTCAAGAATAGATTTGATGCATTAAACACTAATGACTGATGACCAGAGGAGTTGGTGGAATGACATCAACAAGATGATCCATGAGAAAAAGAAAGGTAATTACAAAGACAGAGGAGACAAAAAGACCAAAAATAGATGTCAGAAAAAGCTAAAGCTTGCACTGGGATTAAAAGAAGCCAAAATAAAGAGAGTAAGCTGAACAGAAGATTTCAAATAGCATCTTGAAAAGACCAAGCAAATATTATAACAAAATGTGGAAATATCTGGAAATAGAAAACCAGAAGGGAAGAACACACTAGATATTCCTCAAGCTTAAAGAATTAAAGAAAAAATTCAAGCCTCAAGTTGCAATAATGAAGGATTCTGTGGAGAAATCAATGATGTAGGAAGTATTAAAGAAGATGGAAAGAGTTGGTTGACACCAAACTATTTCAGGAAGTTGTCAAGGATTTCCTTCGACTTATATTCACAATCAACATCCATGTTAGAGGCAATCAAGAAAGCAAGTCAGGGGAGAGAGGAAAATGCACACCAATGAATGAATGAAACCCAAACTTTCTGTAAACTTTTGTTAAAATCAGAATAAAATTTTCAAAAAGAAATCAAAAGACATGTTGCACTGGCAAAATCTGCTGTCAAGGACCTCTCTAAAGTGATAAAGAACAAGAATGCCAATTTAAAGAGGAAAGTGCCCATGATCTAACCATGTTATTTTCAGTTGCTTCATTTTGTGTCTGAAACTTGGACACTGGATAATGATGACAGAAGACAAATCAATGACTTTGAACTTTGGTGTGGGCAAAGAATATTGAATATACCATGGGATTTCAAAAGAACAAACAAATCTGATCTGCAAGAAATGCAACCGGAGTGCTCCTCAGAAGCAAGGAGGGTGAAATTGTTTCTCACACACATTAGGTGTGTTGTCAGAAGGAGCCAATGCTTGGAAAAAGGCATCATGCTGGGAAAGGCCAACAACAGAGAAGACCCTCCAAGAGGTGGATGGACACAGTGGCTACAAGAAAGGGCTTGATCAGGCAGAGAGCCTGTGATTCAGGACAGGGCAGAGCTCTGCTCTGTTGTTCATAGGGTTGTGATGAGGAGCAGTCTACTTGATGGCACCTAACAGCAATAACAATCAAGGGTTGGGAGAGTGCTGGCAGTGTAGTCCATGCAACGCTGCACTGCTAACCCAAAGGCAGAACTTCTGTGGTGGTTCCTCTGGGATTGCGGGCAGCTTCTTACCACTAGGCCAGTCATCCTTAGAGCCTGGAATTAAACTCAGCCCTGTGGCTCAATTTTTAGCCACATAATAGCCCTATAAAATGAACAATCATAATAAAAAAAGATGAACAATAACACCAGTGATGTCAAGCAAGATTGTAAGGGCAGTATTTATTCAGGAAGAAAACTCAAAAGGCAGGAAAGTTTAGATAGATGAAAGGAAGCCAACCACAAAGAGGAAGAAGGAAGGGTGCTCATATAATGAAGGGACTACTATTAATGCCATAAAACCAAACAAGAACAAATGGTTGGATGGAAAACCAACCAGTTCTGTAACTTACACTCAGATAAAAACAAAAGTTTTTTTTAAAAAGTAAAATCCGAGCTCCACTGGTTAAAAACAAAGAAGTCCCCTCCCCTTCTGATTCTTCTTTTCACAATCAAGTCCAACATGAACCAGCTCAACACTATTGAGCTCATGAAAAACTAAAACGGAAAAAAAAATTTAAAAAGAAAAACTAAAACGGAACAATAAATTACTCAGCTATAACTGGGGCAATGGGAGTTGGTGTGTCAGAGTTAGTGAGACTGGCTCAGGACAGGGAAGGGTTCAGGGCTGCTGTACATAGGGTCTCTATGATCGCAGGTGACTCACTGGCACCTAACAACAATAACATGACAGGTTTGGAAGAAGGAGGGGCATCCACTTCCTAAATAACATGCTTCTGGAAACTCTAGGAACTTTGATAAATGTCGATAGTTGTAGAGAGGCTTCAGGCCTTTTGTTCATAGGGTCATTATGAGTCATGCTAAACTTGAAGGCAATCAACAACAACAACAATAAGATACATAGGTCCTGGAGAGGGTGAAACCAGGCTGCTCCTTGGAGGCAAAGATTCTGAAGCTCCATCTGACATACTTTAGACATGTTGCAAGGAGGGACCAGTCCTTGGAGAGGAACATCACAGTTGGCAGGGTAGAGAGACAATGCAGGAGAGGAAGACCTTGGACGAGATTAATTGACTCAGGTGGGTAGGGTCATGGGCTAGGTGAGTCAGAGATTATAAGGTTGGCTCAGGATAGAGCAGGATTCAGAGCTGTTGTATATAAAGTCACCATTAGTCGCAAGTGACTTGATGGCACATAACAACAGCAATAAAAAGATACCTAGGGAGCTTGCTGCAAAATAAAATTTGGTCCTGGTAGGGGAAAAAATATTAGTAATAGTATTTAACACTTTGTGGTGTTAGCCTAAAAGTTGGCTTTTTTTAGCCTTTAGTTAGCCCCTCCAGTCAGAGCTATCTTAACTGCAGATACATGGTCTTGCAAAACTAGGCAGCAAGGCTTGAGGTGAGCAAGGCTTGCGGTGCAAGACCCTAGTGAGAGTGAGACCCTGGTGGTGGAGAGACTGGCATCGCTGTGGAGAAACGGTGTCAAGGTGTGACCTGAGGCTTCTTCCATTTGTGCTGGCCACAGGTTGATTTTGCTGTTCTTGCCTTTGATAATATACGGGAAAGCTGCTTGCTGAATTCAAACCACAGCCTGTACTGAGGAGTTGTGCATTGGAATTATTGGGCTAAAACCTGAACTTAGTTTTGGTGATATTGTGATATTCTTTACCTACCTCCCTCTCCAACTTCCTTCCCTAATAAACTCCATTGTTAGTACCATAGCTGTGAGTCCCTGAGTCAGAAATGAATAAACGGACCTGTTACTGCTGGTGGGGCTCTACAGGTACCATGGGGCTGGGCTATGGACTCCCATCTGCTTTCTGCTCTGGGGCAGAGGGGGCTGTGTTGTTCATTCTCATTCCCTCTGGCCCTTTCAGAGAGACGCTCATGGCCCTGTGCCTTTATGGCCCAGTTTCCCCTTTTTAGACACACTTATTTAACCAACTAATCAATTCCAACTCATAGTGACCTATCACTGAGTTTCTGAGGATAAAAATCTGTATAGAAAGAGATTACCTATTACCTCTCTTTCTCCCCTGGAATGATAGGAGGATTAGGACCACTGCCCTTTTGGTCATATAGCTGCCACTAGGCCTATTTAACATTTACATGGCATGTACTAAATGCTACCTTATGCATTTCACATATATTACTTTACTTATACCTCAATAAATTTATGAACTTGAAAATTATACCTCATTGTTATCAAGTCAGAATCAAACTAAGTTATAGCTGACCCTCTAACAGGCTTCCAGGGGCTGTAAATAACACAAGAGGAAATTGCCCATCTTCATCCTGAAGAGCAGTTGGTGGATTCAAACCACCTTTCTTTAGGTTGGCAGTACAACTTTTTACCCACTAGGCCACCAGAGCTCCCAATATAAATTTATGAGATTGTATTATTCTAGGATCATCACCCTAATTGTGCAGATGAGGAAACTGAAACACAAATCAAGGTAACTAGTAAAGAATTGAGTCAGGTCTTGATTTTAGATGGTTCATATCCATTCACTATATTGGCTGTTAATTATTCCAAAAGCAAAATCTTTGCTTTACTCAAGGCAAAGTTATTTGTCATATACTATTATATATAATATTAT